GGGGGGGATATGATCTCCATGTATAATACATAAGGGGGGATTGAATGATCTCCATGTATAATACATAAGGGTGGGATATGAATCTCTCCATTGTATAATTACATAAGGGGGGATTTGATCTCCATGTATAATACATAAAGGGGATAATGATCTCCATGTATAATACATAAGGGGGGATATGATCTCCATGTATAATACATAAGGGGGATATGATCTCCATGTATAAATACATAAGGGGGGATATGATCTCCATGTATAAATACATAAGGGGGATATGATCTCCATGTATAAATACAATAAGGGGGGGATATGATCTCCATGTATAATACATAAGGGGGGGGATATGATCTCCATGTATAATACATAAGGGGGGATATGATCTCCATGTATAATACATAAGGGGGGATATGATCTCCATGTATAATACATAAGGAGGGATATGATCTCCATGTAGTTAATACATAAGGGGGGATATGATCTCCATGTATAATACATAAGGGGGGATATGATCTCCATGTATAATACATAAGGAGGGATATGATCTCCATGTATAATACATAAGGGGGATATTGATCTCCATGTATAAATAATAAGGGGGGATATGATCTCCATGTATAATACATAAGGGGGATATGATCTCCATGTATAATACATAAGGGGGGATATGATCTCCATGTATAATACATAAGGGGGATATGATCACCATGTATAATACATAAGGGGGGATATGATCCCCATGTATAATAACAATAAGGGGGATATTGATCTCCATGTATACTACATAAGGGGGATATGATCTCCATGTAGGGGGGTTTAATACATAAGAGGGATATGATCTCCATGTATAATACATAAGGGGGGATATGATCTCCATGTATAATACATAAGGGGGATATGATCTCCATGTATAATACATAAGGAGGGATATGATCTCCATGTATAATACATAAGGGGGGATATGATCTCCATGTATAATACATAAGGGGGATGATCTCCATGTATAATACATAAGGGGGGATATGATCTCCATGTAATAATACATAAGGGGGGATATGATCCCCATGTATAATACATAAGGGGGATATGATCTCCATGTATACTACATAAGGGGGGTGATATGATCTCTATGTATAATACATAAGGGGGGATATGATCTCCATGTATAATACATAATGGGGGATATGATCTCCATGTATAAATACATAAGGGGGATATGATCTCCATGTATAAATATATAATGAGGGATATGATCACTATATAATAATGGTACAGCCCTGGCCAATCCCAGAGAAGCAGGCTCTCATTTCATACTGGATAGCTGTAGTATATTATGTGAGCACGCTGGGGTCTGGGTCTTTTCTGCCTAAGATTGTTCCAGCCTAGGAGAGGGCACGTTGCCCTCCCAGGCAGCTGTTGCCATAGGTCTCAAGTAGGCAACCTGAGGGTCTGAATGCTGAGACTCGGGTTCTGCTAAAGCTGGCTGAGGGACCATCTACTGAAGATCTGGTCTGGTATAACAGAGGAAGGTGTCCATCTATTCTTGTGAGTACAGACACCTCTAAGGGATCTTAGAGACTTTGTGCTACTAAAGCCCCTCTGGTGCTTGGGAGTCAGCTGTAGGTCTAGCTAAAGGGGACACTGGCTGGCATTCCAAAATAACATTGTTCGTTTAATCTCCTACCTAAAAGGACTTTGCTCTAGTTTGCTCCTACTACTATTGTTGCCTTATTGCTGAAGTCTACTGTTTGCTTCAAGCACGGCATAACTTATCTAAGAGAATACTCAAGTCCTCAAGTGTATCCCCCTCATCCCACTCATCTCCCTCAGCTCTATCCAAGTTCTCCAAAAATAAAAACAAAAAAAACTCCCCAATACTCTCAGAATGGTCATTGAAGAAAAGTGTGAGTAGGCCTATGTGCCTGGCTGTGGGGCAAAGCTTTTGGGGCAGACCTGGACAGTATTTATGCAGCTCCTATAGAGGTAGCATTACAATAACATTTTGGAAACAGTTTTTATTTAATTTGCAGACACCATATACAAGGGTGTGTCCAGAATATAATGAGAATTAGTTTCCTACGCTGAAGAAGGGCTCTGTGAAGAGAGAAGTTGTCCCAAGGTCACTTGGGGTGGGGTACCTGGTATACATTAGAACACTGATCAGTTGCATTACCTTGTCAGAGTTGAGTCATTCTTTTTTGTGACATACTGTTCAAGTGCCTCATATTAAGAACAATGCAAACAAGTTTGGATCAGCGGTGTGGTATAATGTTTTGCATGAAATTGGGTAACAGCGCATCAGAAACTTTGGAAATGGTGAAGAAAGCTTATGGGGAACCTGTGCTATCATCTGCACAAGTGTACCGATGGCACAAGGCCTTCAAGGAAGGACGAGGTGTTGACGAACAATTATCAGGATGTCTCTCATCAAAAAATGGAACAGAATGTGGATGCAGTGAGGTCTGTTCTCAACCACGACTGATGGCTCACTATCAAAATGATTGCAGAGGAAATGGGAATTACCAAGTCAATTGTTTATGAAATCGTGGCTTAGGATTTGAACTTGAGAAAAGTGTGTGCAGAATGTCTTCCAAAGAACGTCACCTGATCAGATGGAACACCACCAACACGTTTGCCAAGACCTGTTGACTCATTTTAAAGAGAGCCCTATTTTTTGAGTTGAGTGGTCACGGGATATGAATCCTGTCTGTTTGGGTACGATCCTAAGAAGAAGAAACCAAGTTCAGAATGGCACACACCCAGGTCACCTCACCCCAAGAAAGCTTGAATAAGCAAATCAAAAGTCAATCAATGGTCATTGGTTTTTTTTTTTTTTTGTTTTTAATTCACGTGGGATTGTCCATAAGGAATCTGTACCTACTGGTCAAACTGTGAATCAAAGATTTTACCTGGAAGTTCTTTTTTGTGTGCATCCTGAGATTGTCTCAACTTGGACCCTTCATCACGACAACGCAGAGTCACAGTGCATTGGCTGTCAAAGAGTTTTTGGCTGAAAAACACATCATGCTTCCTCATCCACCCTACAGCCCTGACTTGACTCCTTGCAACTTTTTCATATTCCCAAAGATGAAGAATGGTTGGTTTGAAAGGACACCATTTTACTAGTGTGGCTAATGTCCAAAGAGCCACTACGCAGTCTCTGAATGCCATCCCACTTGAAGACTTCCAGTGATGTTATGAGGAATGGAAAAATTGCTAGCAGCATTGTGCACACTCACAAGGTGCGGACTGTGAAGGAGACAATGTTCAATTGTAAAATTTTTCAATAAAATACATTTTTTTAAATATCATTTTTAGAGATGAGCGAAGAAATGAAAAAATTCGATTCGACTGATTCGGCGAATTCGTGGATAATATTCGATTCGAGTCGAATAAATTTGCTGTGAATTTAACTTAAAAAAGGGTGTTTCTAGGCTTCAGAGAGACTTAATATTAGTGCAGAACACTGTACCTTTAATTTAAATGCCCTTGGAGTCTGCTGGGGAAGAGAAATAATACTGTCAGTCAGTATGACATGCAGATGAGTGCCGTCGATCTTAGAATCACTGCACACTTCACTCCTTTGGCCAGTCACGGGGCCAAAACCAGTGTTTGGAGCCACAGTGTGGCGGTGGAGCCAGCAGCAATGGGAGGCCATACAGCAACCTATGACAAAATGGAAACCAGCAGGAGCGTGAGGAGACCTGAAAGTGGCACATGGCAGAGTGGGAGCAATGGGAGGCGGTACAGGGACCCAGGTCACACTGTGGGCCCAGCAGCAGCGTGACCAGGCGGTACGGGGGCCCATGGCCGATATGGGGCTTGGTGGCACCTATGGAAGGCCTGTAATCTGCCAGCAACCTATGACAAAATGGACAACCGCAGGAGTGTGAGGAGATTTCAAAGTGGCACATGGCAGAGTGGAAGCAATGGGAGGACGTACAGGGACCCAGGTCACACTGTGGGCTCAGCAGCAGCGTGACCAGGAGGTACGGGGGCCCATGGCCGATATGGGGCCTGGCGGCACCTATGGGAGGCCGCTAATCTGCCAGCAACCTATGACAAAATGGACAACCGCAGGAGTGTGAAGAGATTTCAAAGTGGCACATGGCAGAGTGGAAGCAATGGGAGGCCGTACATGGGGACCCAGGTCACACTGTGGGCTCAGCAGCAGCGTGACCAGGAGGTACGGGGGCCCATGGCCGATATGGGGCCTGGCGGCATCAATAGAAGGCCTGTAATCTGCCAGCAACCTATGACAAAATGGACAAACCGCAGGAGTGTGAGGAGATTTCAAAGTGGCACATGGCAGAGTGGAAGCAAAGGGAGGCCGTACAGAGACCCAGGTCACACTGTGGGACCAGCAGCAGCGTGACCAGGAGGTACGGGGGCCCATGGCCGATATGGGGCCTGGCGGCACCTATGGGAGGCCGCTAATCTGCCAGCAACCTATGACAAAATGGAAAACCGCAGGAGTGTAAGGAGACCTCAAAGTGGCACATGGCAGAGTGTGTAAGCAATGGGGAGGCCGTACAGGGACCCAGGTCACACTGTGGGGCTCAGCAGCAGCGTGACCAGGAGGTAAACGGGGGCCCATGGCGATATGGGGCCTGGCGGCATCAATAGAAGGCCTGTAATCTGCCAGCAACCTATGACAAAATGGAAAACCAGCAGGAGTGTGAGGAGACCTGAAAGTGGCACATGGCAGAGTGGGAGCAATGGGAGGCGGTACAGAGACCCAGGTCACACTGTGGGCCCAGCAGCAGCGTGATCAGGAGGTACGGGGGCCCATGCCGATATGGGGCTTGGTGGCACCTATGGAAGGCCTGTTAATCTGCCAGCAACCTATGACAAAATGGACAACCGCAGGAGTGTGAGGAGTTTTCAAAGTGGCACATGGCAGAGTGGAAGCAATGGGAGGACGTACAGGGACCCAGGTCACACTGTGGGCTCAGCAGCAGCGTGACCAGGAGGTACGGGGGCCCATGGCCGATATGGGGCCTGGCGGCACCTATGGGAGGCCGCTAATCTGCCAGCAACCTATGACAAAATGGACAACCGCAGGAGTGTGAGGAGATTTCAAAGTGGCACATGGCAAAGTGGAAGCAATGGGAGGCCGTACAGGGACCCAGGTCACACTGTGGGCCCAGCAGCAGCGTGACCAGGAGGTACGGGGGCCCATGGCGATATGGGGCTTGGTGGCACCTATGGAAGGCCTGTAATCTGCCAGCAACCTATGACAAAATGGACAAACCGCAGGAGTGTGAGGAGATTTCAAAGTGGCACATGGGCAGAGTGGAAGCAATGGGAGGACGTACAGGGACCCAGGTCACACTGTGGGCTCAGCAGCAGCGTGACCAGGAGGTACGGGGGCCCATGGCCGACATGGGGCCTGGCGGCACCTATGGGAGGCCGCTAATCTGCCAGCAACCTATGACAAAATGGAAACCTGGGCTGGGGCAGGCAGAACCGCAGTATCTTTATCACGTTTTTCACAGGCCACCGAATGGCGACGCTGCATATGCTGACGCAACGGCTGTAGTCCCAACATGGGCCCCCCTGGAACCACGCTTGACTTTCTGGCCACATAGTCTGGGACATACGGCTACGTTTACTTCCTCGGGCGGCTTGACGAAAACTTGCCACACCGCGAGAGTAGGAAACTTTGCACCCGCTACTCCTCACTGGGCTGACTGCTACTTCCTCCGTGCACACTGGGCACCACTACTGGCTGTGGTGGTAGGCTGCAGTGGAGCTGCTGCTTACTCCGTGGCCGTTTGCCTCCACTGACAAAGCTGCGACCCTGCTGCCTCCTGGCAGCAGCAATGGGAGGCCGTACAGGGACCCAGGTCACACTGTGGGCTCAGCAGCAGCGTGACCAGGCGGTACGGGGGCCCATGGCCGATATGGGGCCTGGCGGAACCTATGGAAGTCCTGGAATCTGCCAGCAACCTATGTCAAAATGGACAAGCGCAGTAGTGTAAGGAGACCTCAAAGTGGCACATGGCAGAGTGTAAGCAATGGGAGGGCCGTACAGGGACCCAGGTCACACTGTGGGCTCAGCAGCAGCCAGCGTGACCAGGAGGTACGGGGCCCATGGCCGATATGGGTCCTGGCGGCACCTATGGGAGGCTGCTAATCTGCCAGCAACCTATGACAAAATGGACAAAACCGCAGGAGTGTGAGGAGATTTCAAAGTGGCACATGGCAGAGTGGAAGCAATGGGAGGACGTACAGGGACCCAGGTCACACTGTGGGCTCAGCAGCAGCGTGACCAGGAGGTACGGGGGCCCATGGCCGATATGGGGCCTGGCGGCACCTATGGGAGGCCGCTAATCTGCCAGCAACCTATGACAAAATGGACAACCGCAGGAGTGTGAGGAGATTTCAAAGTGGCACATGGCAAAGTGGAAGCAATGGGAGGCCGTACAGGGACCCAGGTCACACTGTGGGCCCAGCAGCAGCAGCGTGACCAGGAGGTACGGGGGCCTCCATGGCCGATATGGGGCTTGGTGGCACTATGGAAGGCTGTAATCTGCCAGCAACCTATGACAAAATGGACAAACCGCAGGAGTGTGAGGAGACCTCAAAGTGGCACATGGCAGAGTGGAAGCAATGGGAGGCGTACAGGGATCTAGGTACACACTGTGGGACTCAGCAGCATTCAGCGTGACCAGGAGGTACGGGGCCCATGGCCGACCATGGGGCCTAATGGCGGCACCTATGGAGGCCTGCTAATCTGCCTGCAAACCTATGACAAAATGGAAACCCAGGTAGCTGGGACCATCAGCAACCGCCGAGATCTTTATTCAACGTTCTTTCCACAGGCCACCGAATGGCGAGCTGCATAGATGTGGACGCGAGCGCTGTAGTCCCACATGGGCCCCCCTGGCCACGCTTGGGACTTTCTGGCCACATAGTCGACATACGGCGGGGCGTTGTAATTCCTCGTGGGGCCCTATGACGAAAACTTGCCACACCGCGAGTAGGAATGTTGGCACTCACTGGCTGACTGCTACTTCCTGGCACACCGCGACCACAACTGGCTGTGTGCTAAGCTGCTGCTCCAACTGTGGCGTTTGCCTCTACTGACAAAGCTGCGACCACCCTGCTGCCTCCCGGCAGCAGCACACCGGCACCAGTCAGCACGTGCTCAGCACAGGAGGTAGCGGTACGGGTAGGCCCATGTGCCGATATGGGACTGGCTGGCAACGACTTGGAAGTCCGTGGAATCATGCCAGCAACCTATGTCTAAAATGGCAACCGCAGTAGTGTAAGGAGACCTCAAAGTTGCACAGCAGAGTGTAAGCAATGGAGGCCGTACTAGGTCACCACCCAGGTCACACTGTGGGCTCAGCATGGCACCGGCGTGAAGGATTTCAAAGGGTACGGGGGCAATGGAGGCCCATGGCCGATATGGGGCCTGGCGGACCAGCGCGGACGGCTCCTATCCGATATGGCCTGGCGGCACCTATGTAGGCCAGCTAATCTGCCAGTGCAACCTATGGACAAAATGGCGAAAAAAACCGCAGGAGTGGTGAGTGAGAGACCTCAAAGTTTGGCAACAATGGCAGAGTGGTAACCCTATTTGGGTTTCCCGGCGGCACCCCATGGGAGGCCCCCAAAACTGCCAGCAAAAAATTTGAAAAAAATGGACAACCGCAGGAGTGTGAAGAGATTTTTTAAAGTGGGGAAATGGCAAAGTGGAAAACAAAGGGAAGGGGGTTTCAGGGGGCCCAGGGGCACACTGGTGGGGCCCCGCAGCAGCGTGGGCCGGCGGTAAAGGGGGCCCATGGCCGATATGGGGCCTGGCCCCGGGAAAATTTGGGAGGCCGGGGTAATTGCCAAGCAACCTAAAAAACAAAAAGGGGAAAAAGGGAAAGGGGTTTTAAGGGACCTCCCCAAAATGGACATGGCCCGGGTAAGCAATGGGACCCCTACAGGGGCCCAGGTTCCCCCACTGTGGGCTCAGCAGGGACGTGACCAGGAGGTACGGGGGCCCCCTGGGGCCCATAAAGGGGCCTGGCCGGGATCAATAGAAAAGGGCCCGTATCTTTCCCCGCAAACCCATGCAAAAAGGAAACCCCTCAGGAGGGTTAGGAGACCTGAAAATGGGCACATGGAAGGGGTTTTGGGAAACAATGGGAGGGGGTACAAAAGGGCCCAAAGGTCACACTGGGGACCGGGAGCAGCGTGACCCGGGGGGGTACGGGGGCCCCTTTGGCCGAAATGGGGCCTGGCGGAACCTTGGAAGTCCTGGAATCCCGCCCCAACCCATGTCAAAAAAGGAAAAACGCCCGTAGTGTAAGGAGACCCCCCAAATGACCCCCATGGCCGAGTGTAAGCAAAAGGGGGGCCGTACAGGGGCCCAGGGGCACACTGTGGGCTCAGGGAGCAGCGTGACCCAAAGGAAGGGGACGGGGGCCCCATGGGCCCATATGGGGGGGCCTGGCGGGGATCAATAGAAGGGTTAATCTCCCGCAACCTATGACAAAATGGAAAAACCCGAAAGGGGTTTTGAGGGGAACCCGAAAGTGGCACATGGCAGAGGGGGGAGCAATGGGGCGGGGAAAAGAGACCCCCGGTTTACACGTGGGGGCCAGCCCGCACTGTGGGAAACCCGGCGGGTTTGGCGGGCCCATGGCCGATTTTGGGGGCCTTGGGGGAAACCCATGGAAAAATCCCGGAATCTGAAAACAACCCTATGTCAAAATGGACAAGCGCCAATTTGTGTAAGGAGGGCCTCCAAAAGGGCCCCATGGGGAGGTGTAACAATTGGGGGGCCGTACAGGGGCCCGGTCACACCCGTGGGTCAGCAGGGTGCGTGACCAGGAGGTAAAAAGGGGCCCCAAAGGCCCATATGGGGGCCCCGGGGGGGGCATCAAAAGAAGGCCTGTAATCTGCCAGCAACCTATGACCCCAAAAGGGGCAAAACCCCAGGAGTGTGGGGGTAGTTTTAAAGTGGCAATGGCAGAAAATTTGGAAAACAATTTGGGGGGCCGTAAAAGAGACCCAACACACTGGGGGGAACCCCAAACAGGGAGCGGAAAAACCCGGTGTACGGGGGGCCCCTGGGCCCAAATGGGGCCCGGCGGGGGACCTATTGGGGGGCCTGTAACTTTCCAAAACCTATGGGCAAAATGGAAAAACCCCCAGGATTTTGGGGGGAGATTTTAAAAAGTGGGGCCAAAGGGAGAGTGGGGGGAAACAATGGGAGGGGGTACGAGAAAACCCGGTCCCACTGTGGGAAAACCCGCACAGCGTGACCCGGAGGGGCGGGGGGCCCCTGGCCGATATTGGGGGCCCGGCGGCATCAATGAAGGCCCGTAATCTGGGCCCGCAAACCAAAAGACAAAATGGAAAAAACCGCAAGGGGTGTTTAGGAGATTTCAAAGTTGCACATGGCCCGGGGTGGGGAAACAAAAGGGGGCCCCTACAAGACCCAGGTCACCATGGGGGACCAGCACCGGGGTGCCAGGAAGGGACGGGGGCCCATGTCCCATATGGGGGGCCGGGGGGGCACCTTGGGAGGCCTGTAAAAAAATTCAGAAAATTAAAAATAAAAAAGGGGAAATTTAAATTAAATAAAATGGGAATAAAAAAGGTTTAATTTTTTAAGAAAATAACGGAAAATAAAATTTCCAAAAAAAGGGGGGAAATAAGGGGGTTTAAAAATTTTAATTTTTAAATTAAAAAAAAAATTTTAAAAAAGGTTTTTGGGTTTAAATTTAAAAAAAAATTATAAATAAAAATTAAAAATTTTAAAAAAAATTTTTAAAAAATTTTTAAAATTTTTAATTAAAATTTAAAATTTAAAATTCATTTAAAATTAAAATTAAAATAAAAAATTTTAAATAAAAATTAAAATAAATAAATTGGTTTAAATTTAATTATTAAATACCCTTTTTCCCTTTTTAAATAAAATTAAATTTTATTTTAAATTTTTTTAAAATTATTAAAATTTAAAAAATTTTAATAAAAAATTTTTTAATTAAATAAAAATTAAATTTAAAAATAAAAAAATTTCCCCCCCGAAAAAATTAAAAAATTAAAAAAATC